ATCCTCTGGAAATCCGATCTTTGAAATTTTTTTAAAAGTTGTTTGTGCTTGTGAAAAGTTCCGCTCAAGTCTTGGCTATCGAATAGCGAAAATCGTAGGTCTCTATCTCATTCCTATCAAAAATGCCCACCGGCACTGTACTTTGGAATGGATAGTAGTAATTTACCATTCACTTTTGTTTTTGTTCATAATTTGTTCAATTCGTTCATTTATCAATTGTAGATCATTTGAAATTGTTTTTAATTTTTGTTCATAGTCATGATATTGTTTTCGATTTTGTGCTTCATTTTTACAATTTAAATATTGTTCATTTTGTTTTAATTTCATTTCAATATCATTCAAATATTGTTCATCATCATCTGTTATATTCGATAGTTTTTGTCGAATTTTATTACATTTTAATTCAAATGTTATCGAATAAATTTTACTTAATAATAAACGTGTCATTTCGAAATGAGCATTTTTCCAATTGTTATCATGTTGTTCATGACAATGAACACATAGTAACGTGTCACAATGCCAACATAATTTGAGATGTTGACATTTTTTACATATAAAACATTTGGCAAATAATTGCTCTCGTTCTTGATCATTATCATCAATATCTCGAATATACTGTTGTTTATATTGTTCAACTAACGTGCGAACAATACGATTCAGTGGTATTAAACGATTGAATGTATAATACCGACATACTGGACCTAGAAGAAGAAATAGTTCTGCTTACAACATAAATGTAATGTAACATTACTTACAAATGAGAAGAAAATTTGTTAGTGGGGTTGGTGTTGGACGTAAACAGGCTGAGCAAAACGTATGTGAACAAGGCAATATGCGAGGCTAATTTGAAGAGATAAAACATAATTGTGAATTTTGATAAAAAAATGCTGTTATTTCATCTTACTTCAACAAATAAGTCGAGGCATACAGGACACAAAAGAGAATCTCTTAGACACGTATTGGATGACATCTAAAGCAAACGAGCAGAATAAAAAAGTTTAAAATGGGATCATTAACTGTACCTTTAGAATTATATCTGACCGTTAATTTAATCTGTTATCTAAAATCATAGTTCTTTGTGAGTAATAAATGAAATTATGAATGTCACGAGCGTATCTACTGCTTTTTCAAAGTTTATCATGAATTTCTGACGTCTGACTAGAAGAAAGTTTTTTGTACTGTTCGAAATGCAGAGCACATGTTTCTCTACAAAATAAGGTATTAACAAGGTCTGTGTGATTTTTGCTTCTAAAATCTGTGCTCATTCAATAACAAACTCTGAACCGAGCCTGATTGAGACAAGCTGAGGCTCGGTGGAATACACTATTAGAACAAATACAAAAGACGGATAAACGAACAGTCAGAGATGTGATCTCTCATTTTAGAGGAAAATCTATACTCTATATTTATCATAATTGAGAGGAAATATTATCTCTTCTCTCGTCCACCTTTTGCTGAACGTTATGAAATTCGAGCGTAGGCTCGAAATATCTCTAAATGAAACTATCAAGACAATAGTGAACATTATAGTGTGTCATTTTTTTCAAAAAAATTTTATACTTCTTACGCTGTTGTTTTACACCCTTGAATATAAGCACTCAAATTGAAGTCCACATAATCATTTCAAAACTTAGTAACATTATGACAAATACTGTTAAGTTTTCTGTTTAAAAGAAGATACTACAATAGCCGTTTACTTTTGTTATGAAAAAAATAAATACTACAATACAATGTATTGGAAAAAATCGAAAGTTTAGTCGGTGAATAACTAAGTATATAGACAACGGGTTGAAATTACTGATTCATTTTTAATGATGTCCTTCGTAAAACCGTTCTAAGAAATGTTTTGGTTTTTGTTTGTATGTATCCATTGATCGATCAAATAATGCTGCATTATGTGCTTGTCGCCAAATTTCTGCTGTTTCGACAAAATCCATTTGACCTTTGACTAACAATCGATCAATAACACGTATATCCGTGACATTTTTATTACTTAAAAAATTTTCTTTTAAAATTTTTCGTAATTCTGGTTCAGTCCAATTATTTGATATATAATCGACACGAATATAAGGTATTTGTCTTAACCATATTTTATATAGATTTAATACACGTCGTTTTGCTTCAGCATGATTAACAGATAGTACAGGACGAATTTCTTTTAATACGGGTGTTATACGATTACTCAATGACATGATAGAAATATCACACCATAAAAAGCATAAAAACACCTTATCTACAAAAATAGAGTAAAATATTATTGTACAAATATTAGATAAAAGTCTTATGTTCTAGGATTAACTGTCAGTCAGAATTTTTTGAGAAAAATGACAAGGATGAAATGCTTTATCGACTCCTGTCGAGTTTGTGGAATTCTTCCAGATAATTTTCGAAGGAAGAAGTAAATCATATACTCAGAACAAAGCAAACAATCAAATATAGTTGATAATTGGAAAAAATATAGCTAGAAGAGGCACCTAGAATGACACAAAAATAAAATTGATAGTTTAGACAGTTGATTTACATCAGTTAGTTAAAGTTCGCGTTCGATTCAAACATTACTAGTCGTTTTTAATGAATTAATTTTTTTGACATTTGAATTACATGAATTTCTGTTCATTGAATGTCGACAGTATTTCCTTACGTTATATTGTGTACGATCCAAAATAAAATGTTCAGCAATTTCAGGCACAAGTGGTTCGTCTAGATTTGGATTAGACGTCAATGATAAGATATATAATAAAACTAAACAAATAAAAAACATAAAAAAGAATAAACAATTGTTCGCTAATAAAGAGAAAATAGCGTTTTGAGCATAATTTTTAGACTGAAATAAGCACAGACAATGAATCTGTTTTATATGTTCCTATTTCTTTATCATACTGTAGAAAATATACTTCAAAACCAAAAAGCGAAACTACCCACTGAAAAAAATAATCAAAATTCATGCAGGATCCCGTGGGTTATCAGTATTAAAATATCCGGCGATGTTTCTTACCTTTACGCAGAATTTTTATACTGCCAGCCCTGACAGAACCCTGCATAGTTTATGTAGGGTCAGCATGGAAAAAATCCTGCGTAAAGGTAAGAAACATCGCAAGACTTTTTGACTTATTCAATCCACAAGTTTTTTCCTGCGAGATCTGGCAGAATTTTGTTGGGTGAAAGAAAGAGGATTTTGTTTTCCATGTCTATCCTGCGGTATCCAGCAATCTTTTCTCACCAATGTCTGTCAGGATGACCGTGGAGGAAGTTGTCCGTATTTTATTTTTTTTGGAAAGTTAAGTACTTTTTTTCTTATAAAGTTATAAAAAATTTTCTCGTGTTCAATAAACTTCTAGAAAACGTATACCTTAATATTTTGACGTTAACACGCATTTTCATGTGTACAAAACCAAACTATTAATAGATAGTTGAAAAGATCTTTTTTATGTCAGGAATATTCTATTTTTTTCCATCAATAAGGCATTAAAGTCATTAGAATGATCACGCTACTGTGAAAAAACGATGTATAGCAAAGCAGGTTGTACATCCGAGTATCGCTAATTTCGCTTTCGTTATGTCAACGGCCGTTTGTACTATTGTATCGCGGATAATTCGATCAAATGCGTTAATTAACAACGTGGCTTCCTCGATTTTCCCATTGTCCGCGCACACGTCTAATCTGGAAAACGCTGGGTCGATTTCATCGCTTACCATATGATCGCTTACCATCAATCGCTAAAATCCAAGATTTTATCTGGGACGTTTTAAAAAAGTTCCTTGAGAACGTAACGGTTCGGTAAGGGCGAAAAACGTTTTCGCATCGGGAACGGATAGGAAAACGGTATCCGTGCACATCTCTTATGAGGATAGATATACTACTCAAGATATGAGTGACATAACTTAGGCACAAGGGTATCAATCAACCGATTTTTGTCACCTTTTACGTTCATTGTGAGCTTTCCGGGTAAAACGTTTGCTAGAGACTATCTCGACCCAGCAGAAGCCACATTCTCGCCCAACCATATTCGTTTTGTAACGCATGTCCGTTTGCACAGAAGATATGCTCTGTCAGAACTGTTTCCGCGTTATCTGTTATGTCACACTCAAACAACGAGTTTCGTTTCTATTGACTCTTGATAACAGAAAACAAAAACATAAAGCAGTAATATTATCGTGAAAACACTCGAATGACGTTGGTAAAAACATCACATCAATTCAGTCCTCTGGTTACAACTGACAGCAGAATGAATACAAACGTTGATTTCGTATCCCGAAGAGAGATGCAGCATGACTTATCAGACCGATTGCTCAGTACTTGTGGCAACAATCAATGTTTGAAGCAAGCACAGAATGGTAAGTTACTCATGTGTTTTTCAACTACATTCATTGCTGCACATACAAATCTGATGATTGCAACGTGTTCAGAATAGTGGAGAGAGATATGACATCCACGGTCAAGACCGTACTAAACTGCTGATGGCTGGCCATCCATCCATATTCGACTGAGAGGACGGAACCGTGCCTAATACTCGCAAGAACCATCACTTGATCTGACACTGCTATCCATCTTCGAGAGTGAGTATCAACCTTGCCATTCTCCCTTCTTTACACTTCAGAGGCTCTCTTCATATAAGAGAGACCAAGAATTCACACTCTTGATAATGCATATTTGTTTAGATGTGACACAATTTCAATCGCTTGCGAATGAAGTGATCCTTGAAATCTTTGAATATTTCGATGCTTATGATATTCTCCACTCATTCCTCCGATTTAACGATCGTTTCGATAGACTACTTGACAGCCTACAGTTTGATCTGAACTTTCAATGCATCAGCAAACCCAGATGTGACTTTATCTCGGAACACTTTCCATCAGCAGCACAAATTCGTTCTCTGCGTCTGTCTAGAGACACCTCCGATTATGCTGACTTGTTCTTCACCCACTTTCTCAAGAACACATTGGCAAATCTTCGCTCTTTATCCTTGTTCCAAATCAAAGCAGAACAAGTGATCAAAGTCGTGTTGCCGCACTTCTCTTGTATGACACAACTGTCGTCACTAAGACTGATTATGGAATTCAGCGATCGCAAGC